CTTTCTTTCTTTCTTTCTTTCTTCTCTCTCTCTCTCTCTCTCTTTCTTTCATTCATTACCAAACTTGGTAATGTCATCAGAACAACAGCAGCAGCAAAATGCCCTCTCACCGAACCGGCTGTAGCACCGGTTGAATCCCACCCCTGGGTCAATGACAGCGTTCCAGAAAACATCCACTCCAACATAAGGTCTCAATATGGCTTCCAAAGCTTAAACTCTACACTACAGGAGTAGGATTCAGCCGGCTCAAGTGAAACGGATATTAAATTTAAATCTGGTTCACAGAACCGGTAGTTAAACTGACCAGCCGGCCCCACCCTCCCCTCCCCTCCCCCGAGTCTCCACACGGCCCATTTTGGATGCAGGTAAGTGCAGGGTCCGTGTGGAGGTTCTGGGAGAGGGAAAAATGGTCCTCCCAGAAGTTCTGGAAGTCTGCAAACGGGCCTGTCTCCGGCTACCAGAGCCCAATTGAAGCCGTTTTCACCCTCCCAGAAGCCCGAGGGAAGCCTCCGGACTATGGGGAAGGCAAAAAATGACCCTCCTGGAAGTCCCAGAAGTCCAGAAACGGGTCAGTTTCCAGCCTTCGGGGGGCCTCCGGAGCCTGGGGGAAGCCATTTTCGCCCTCCCAGAGGCCTGAGGGAAGCCTCCGGACTCTGGGGAAGGTGAAAAACGGCCCTCCTGGAAGTTCCGGAAGTCCGGAAACGGGTCAAGTTTCCAGCCTCCGGAGCCCGGGGGGGGCATTTTCGACCTCCCAGAGACTCTGGGAAAGGCGAAAAATCAGCCCTCCCGCAAGTTCCGGTAGGCCATGCCCACGCCCACCCAGCAACCCGGCAGAGAACCAGTTGCTGGTTCCCTGGTTCCACCCCTAGTCTACATGTACTCTAGCACAGGGGTCCCCCCCAATTTGGCAACTTTTAAGACTTTGTGGAATTCCACTACCCAGAATTCTTCAGGCTGGCTGAGGAATTCTGGGAGTTGAAGTCCACGAGTCTTAAAAGTTTGGGAGACCTCTGCCCTGGCTCCAAATTTGCTGTGGGAAAGTTTGCTAACGTCTTGCCGTCATGTCCAACACAGGCCTGGTGGAATGCAATGGATGGGTCCCATCTAGCCTGACCTCAGGTGGCCCCCTTTCCACCCCTTATCCGCCCATCATTGGCCCCAGAATCCGAGGAACTCTTACGTGTTGTGAGAAGACGAGATCCAGTACTGAGACAAAGGGAAGGTCATTTCTTCGGGGGCTACTTGCTCCCCCTTGGAATCCATCAGCGTGTTTTCTTTGGAGAACAAGAAGGTCAGGAACTGTGCAACGAAGAGGGAAAGAAAGACTATTATAGAATAACAAGAGTTGGAAGGCACCTTGGAGGTCTTCTAGTCCAACCCCTTGTCCAAGCAGGAGATTCTACACGGGGGTCACCAACCTTTTGGACCTCAGGGACCACCAAGCTCATAATTTAAAATCCCGCGGACCACTAATATGAATTTTGACTGACGGTGGCTTGCTGACATTGGTGGGAGAGAGAGAGAGATGTAATCTAACATCTCTCTCTCTCTCTCTCTCTCCACACACGCACACACAGACACACAAACACACAGATGCTGGGGTGGGATTCAAATTTCTTAACAACCGCTTCTGTGGGCATGGCCTAATTTTTTGGGTGTGGCTTGGGTGGTCATGTGACCGGCTGAGCATGGCTTGTATGTAAATATTATTAATATTTATGTAAATATTGAATTTTTTTATATAAAAAAGAGCAACTTTTACCCAAAAATCAGGCAAAAAAATTAAAATTAAACAATTTTATGAAGTTTGGGATCTTTTTTATCAATGGTTAGATAACGAAGCATAATAATAGAACATTCAGACTTAGCATAACAAAAAAATTTTCTTTTCTTTTGATATTATCTTTATAAAACACTATCAAGATAGATTTGGTATGATCTTATGATTTATTGCAAAATAAACTAAGTAAACTATAGTTATTTCGTTAAAGCATGAATTAATAAAATTATAGATAAATGATTTTTTAGTGATGATATTAGGTTATACAATTATTGATTGATAATATGAGCTATTATGTAATATAATTATATTAGTGACTAGGAAATGGATGCACAAAAAAAAAGTGGTAAACCAACCGATACTCTGTTTGTAAATTTATGAAGAAGGATGATATTTTTATGTTTTATGTGGTATGTCTATGTTGTTTTGTTGTTAAAATAAAAAACTTTTTTATAAAAAAAAAAAATCAGGCAAAGCAGGCAAGCAGATTGAGTTGCTCACAAAATCACAGATTCATTCAGAGATCTATCCATCTGCCATTGGCTATCTGAGTCTGCACTGAATAATAGAACCTAAAAGCACAGCCGAAGATCTATAGATTAGCTAGAAAGCAAGAAGTCCAACCATTTCCTGCTTTCTAGTTAATCTGAATCTCCCAGCACGGCAGAACAGAGGATGGTCGGAAAAAGGAAAAATAGCAAATTAGCAGGCAAGTTTGTCAGGTAAGGAGTGAGTGGGCGGGGAGTATTCCCACGGGCCATGTGGGCAGCGCAGCCTTGTGTTTCTGGATTAATTGCCTTGGGGGCTGCTCTGGGGGGGTGGCATTTCTCTGCGGACCACCAAAATGTTCTCGCAGAAGAGGGGGTCCCGTGTTGGAGCACCCACATCTGAAGGCCATTAATTGTTCTATCTTATCAGGAAATTTCTGCTTAATTCTAGGTTGGTTTCTCTTTGGTTAGTTTCCATCCATTGTTTCTTCTCTTACCTTTCGGCGTTTGGAAAATAAATTTGACCCTCTCGTTTTTGTAGGAGCCCCTCAAATACTGGAATACTGCTATCGTGTCACCCCTAATTCTTCCTTTCATAGGATTTGGGTTTGACTAGCCAGACCCAGATTCCGCAACGATTCTTCCTACGTTTTAGTCTCCGGGCCTTGAATCATCCTAGTTGCTCTTCTTTGCATTTTTTTTTTCCAAAGTCTCAACATCTTTTTTTCGGAACGTGGTGACCAAAACTGGATACAGCATTCCAAGGTGTCAACTCATAAAATATTTCTAGGGTCGTGTCAACTCATAAAATATTTCTAGGGTTGTTTTTAGAGTTGCCAACAGAAAGGAAGGGGTGAGCAGTAAGGCAGCTTGGAAATCGAAAGCGCATTCCATAAATAGCTGTTCAAAGATAGTAACTAGGTGACTGAAGTTTCTGCTGTGCAAAATTCTAACTGGAGAGCCTGATGGATGACTCTGGGCTATGGACGTGTCCCATTGGAGAATAGGAATTAGGATACACACAGGGGGTGGGTGGAAACCAGGATCAAGGGTGACAATGGATGATGTGCCTCAGAGTCGGCTACACCCAGGCAGTGCCGGACATGTTTGCTCCCAATAAATCCTTTGGAAGTTTTGGAAGTTTGGCTCGAGACTCATGGTTTAAATGGAGGGAACTGCCAGAATCCCAACACCAGTAAGGTGTGGCCTTACTAAAGCTTTATAAAGTGGTACTAATCAGTGGTGGGATTCAAACATTTTTACTACTGGTTCTGTGGGCATGGCTTGGTGGGCGTGGCAGGGGAAGGTTACTGCAAAATCTCAATTCCCTCCTCACCCCACTAACCTGCTTTCCAGCTCCGTTCTCCTATGCAGGGCAACCAAAGGAGATCCAGCCGATCAGCTGAGACTCAACGGGAGGCAGAGGAGAGATGGGGTTGGCGGGGCCAGTCAGAGGTGGTTCTTTTGCTGGTTCTCCAAACTACTCAAAATCTCCGCTACCGGTTCTCCAGAACTGTTCAGAACCGTCTGAAAACCATCTCCGGTACTAAATACTTCACCTGATTTCGATTCTATGTCTCTGTTTATACAACCAAGGATTGCATTGGCTTTTTTGGCAGCTGTTGCACACGGCTGGCTCCCATTTAAGTGACTTCCGACTAGGGCTCCTAGATTCCTCTGGGGAATTCTGGGAGTTGAAGTCCACCCATCTAAAAGTTGCTGAGGTTGAGAAACGCTGGCTTAACAAGACACACACAGACACACACACACACACACCAGGATGATTGAGGAAGAAAGCCGGACACTCACTTCATCCAGCTGGAAGACAGGCTCCGCCATGTCAGCCAAACGGTCCTGCAGGTAGCTGCACATCAACCTTCGTACCTTGGTGATGTCATTCGCCCAGGTTTCCTGCAGAGAAACGGCCGGGGGCAGAGTTACCAGGAAGCTGTGCAGCAAATTTGAACTGAGAAGGAGGGGCCATGCTCAGGAGAGGTCAAAAAGAGCCAGGATGGCACCTGCAAAGTCCTGCCACTTTGGATAGGCGCTGCGTCGGTTTGATCAAAGTCAATCCGCCATTGGAAGATTCGAAAGACCCGGTTAGACAGAGACCATAATGGAGAAAATGCAAGTAGCGGTTAGGAGCCAAACTGATTGTGGTGGAATGTGGTCTGGATTCCCGGGAGGGAGGGGCTTTCTTTTCTTTTCTTTTCTTTTTTCTTTCATTTTTTTTCTTAATTACATAATTAGGACTGCAGAAAAAACCATGGCTACCAACCTGCCTTCCATGGAGGACCTGTAATATCCTGCACAGGAGTCACAAAGAGGGCTGTGAAAATATCTACAGACCCTTCACATCCCGGACATAAACTGTTTCAACTCCTTCCCTCAAAATGACGCTACAGAGCCCTGCACACCAGAACAACTAGACACAGTGGAGTTTTTTCCCGAACGCCATCACTCTGCTAAACAAAGAATTCCCTCAACACTGTCCAACTATTTACAATGTCTGCACTACCGTTACTATTAAATCGTCTCATCACTCTTTATCATCCATCCCCTCCCACTTGTGACTGTAGGACTTTAACCTTGTTGCTTGTCCCCTTACAATTTATATGGACTGTTTCCTAGTATGATTTGATTGCTTATTGTACCCTATGATTGTTATCAAGTGTTGTACCTGATGATTCTTGACTCTTCATGAATGTATCTTTGCTTTTATGTACACTGGGAGCATTTGCACCAAGACAGATTCCTTGTGTGTCCAATCACACTTGGCCAATAAAGAATTCTATTTCTATTTCTATTCTATCCCATATATTCTATTCTATTCTATTCTATTCTATTCTATTCTATTCTATTCTATTCTATTTCTATTCTATTCTACTCTACTCTACTCTATACTCCACTCCATTCCATTTATTCTATTCTTTGTATTTTGTATATTCTATTCTATTATTTCCTTATTCTATTCTATTCTATTCCATATTTTCTATTCTATTCAAATTCTATTCTACTCTATTCCATATTTTTATTCTATTCTCTGTAGTTTATATGTTCTATTCTATTCTATATTCTATTCTATTCCATTCCATTCCATTTATTCTATTCTCTGTATTTTGTATATTCTATTCTATTCTATTCTATTCTATTCTATTCTATTCTATTCTATTCTATTCTTTCCTTATTCTATTCTATTCCATCCCATATATTCTATTCTATTCTATTCTATTCTATTCTATTCTCTCTCTCCCGCTCTTTCTTTTTTCATTCATTCATTCATTCATTCATTCATTCACATTTACATTCCAGAGGACCAATAGACAAGCTAACTTTGGCTCGTGTGGCTGGGAGGAAGAGAGTTCAGAAGGCGACTCCCGACCTAGAGATCCTCGGAGTGTAACATTGATGATGAAAATAGTCTGCTTTAGTTTGGCAAGATTCTGTCTAGAGGTCAGGAACAATACAGGAATACAGGCAGACCTCAACGTACAACAGCTCGTTTAGCGGCCATTCGAAGTTACAGAGGCACTGAAAAAGTGACTTATGACCATTTTTCACGCTTATGACCGCTGCAGCATCCCTGTGGTCATGTGATCAAAATTTGGGTGCTTGTCAACTGACTAATCGCCTTTTGGGACCTTCTGACAAGCAAAATCCATGGGGAAGCCAGATTCACTTAACAACGGGGTTACTAACTTCACAACGGCAGTGACAAGAAAGGCTGTAAAATGGGGCAGAATTCACTGAACAAATGTTTTCGCTTAACAGCAGAAAGCTTGGGCTCCGTTGTGGTCGTAAGTCAAGGACTACCTGTACAGAAAGGCAGTTTGTTTATTTATGTATTTATTGAATTTACACACTGCCCATCTCATTGTCAAGGGACCGTAGGCAACCAACCAAACATCACACAAGCATGGATACACAACATGACAACATTCGCTGTTAAAGTGAACACAAAGAAGCGAAAAAGTCATTTTTGTTAATGATCTCTGCTGGTTTTCACGAAAGCAAACCTCTTTCTTTCTTTCTTTCTTTCTTTCTTTCTTTCTTTCTTTCTTTCTTTCTTCTTTTTCTTCCTTCCTTCCTTCCTTCCCTCCCACCCCTCCCTTTTCCTTCCTTTATTCCTTCCCTCCCTCCCTCCCTCCTACCCCTCCCCTTTCCTTCCTTTCTTCCTTCCCTCCCTCCCTCCCTCCCTTTCTCTCTCTCTCTTCTTTCAGAAAATACCTTTTGATCGTATTGTAAGAATTTCTGGAAGTCATATAAGGTGACTTGGCAGAGTTCGGGCCGATCCATGTTACTGAAAAGGAAGCCGGAGAAGGAAGAAGCCCCTCAGTAGCTGTGCCACACAAACACACAAACACACACACACACACACACACTCACACCCAACAGCACTTTGTCAAGGGTGGGGTTCTCGGTACTCTCTCAGCTGGG